CCACACGGAAAGGGCTTCGCAACGGGCGCAACGAGAGCTGCCCGGGCGTGCTCCATCCCCAAACATGAGACACACATCTCATGAGAATCTCCATCCGTGATGTACCGAGGGCAAGAAAAAACACACCTTCTGTACATCTGGTTGCCGGACATGCTGGTAGACTTCTTCTTCAGGTAAGACACACTGCTTGTAGGACTGGAGCTTTCTTCAAACAACATACAGAGCGCCTGCTGAATAGAAAAAAGCTAATGATGAGTGTGTACAGGTGTGCTTTATACTCCTCCGGTTATTCCGTCACACCTTACCATTCTAGCAACAAACCAATAGGATTGGAGTGATTTCATTCACGTTCAGACCTGCTATGCCTAGAGGCGTTCCCATAGTGTCGTAACCGATGCAGTTCGAGTTCCCTCGAAGGGGAACATGACTCTTTCTGACCTAGCTCTCCTCTCGTCCACTCCGAAACTTCTGGTGTCACTGCAAACCTGAGGCAATGGTTTCTACAGCTTCACTGGGAACTCTCAAACAGCAGGTACCGAGTTCTCTCTGCAGTTGTTTTCTCTCCTCGAACCAGGCAGGTTAAAGTTCACTTTCTATTTGACGTTTTGCTGGTCCATTGGAACAACTGCTTCTGTTAGCTTATACCTGCCAACTAGCTAACATTAGTCTCTATGTAAACAAACAACTGCAGAGGGGAAACACATAACTTGCAATTTAGTAGTTGCAGTGTATTAGCTAATATTAGCACTTGTTCCAAACTACAACTGTTTCACATTTACTACGTGTTAAACATCATGTCTAATGTAAAGAAGGCTACCTAAAGTCTGATGCGCCTGTCACTGGACTGGTACATGCCAATGCTCATATGTCATTTTGGGAAACGGTCATATAGGTATTTTATAGGTCTTTTCCAGCGGACATAGTCGTTTTGTCTGTTTTACCATGCCGTCTTCACAGGGAATACCCTGGCTTATTTTGTCATTTAATTGTCTGTGGAACAAAAACAAACGTGCAAATGATAGTTGGTTATATGCTATTGAAACTTACCAACTACCAGCAGGAAAAAAACCTGACAAAACAATGACATTTCAAACCAGTGCCTGACAGCAGCTTTAGATTTTCTTTCTCTTTTGACTTGCAACAGATTTTTTTCTGTTTTCCTATAAAATGAACAGAACAATGTTTAAACCCAAATTGAAATCATTCACTATGCTTTCTTATTCTTTTGTTGAGGCTCATTTCACAGGACACCAGTGAAATATATAAGTATTACTTTTCATAATGCTTTTTTTATAAACTGTTTATAAAATGCAACTAATATCCTTGATCAAACAAATCTTAACTCAATTTCCACTTGCTAGCATGTTTTGGGAACTTTTCAACTTCTCATGTATGGACTGGGTATGCCATCAAAATAATTGTAGACTTTTACAGCGTTTTATTATAATCAATTAATAAATTGATAGGTTTAAAAAGATATTTTGATTTAAAAGTATATATTGATAAAATAAACAAGCAAGTAAAAAAAATGTGCATTTGGTATTTCTAAAGGAAATACTAATGGGCCCAAATCAAAATTTTGTTGGAGGCCCCTCTAACTGTCGTGTGTACTCACTATATATGGCACAGAAGCAACATCTCTAGTTTTTAAGAAAGACCTGATTCATTTTTCTTAGATTTTTCAAACTGCTATGTTTATAGTTTAGCACCAAAATACAAGGGAAATTTCTTGTATTTGTAAACCTACTAAATAAAGTTGATTTTGATGAAAAACAATAACTGTTACTGTTTGATGTCTAACAGGAAAAATATGTTACCAAGCTGATGACCAAGACCAGGTCAACACTGATGAACTTGGTGCTGCATAAAAAGACTGATAAAGTGATTATCACTGGCCAAAGATAAAACTTAAATAACAGCCAAACAAGAGTTTAAGACACAAAAACAACACAACAGTAGACAGCATGAATTTTACTATGTCAACCAGTTTCTCTGAACTTTTTCACCATTTATGAGTGATCTGAACATGTCATGATAGTGAAGTCTTTGATTGTTTGAGTGTCTTTTTGGAAATGTGAAGTCTCTGTCAACCTGTGCTGGTCCCCTGCTCACCATGGTGAATGTGTAATTAGTCATTAAGGACTGATCAGCTGGATCCACTGGAGGAGTAAAAACTGGAGAGCTAAGTGTGTTTGAAAGCATGATGGTACTGCTCTCCACTTCAATAGGCACAGGAACCTTTGGGGATGATTAACACAGAAAATTATTAATTTTAGTATGTTGACATGTCATGGATGATACCAAAGGTGGAGGTACAGGTGGAGGTTGAAGGAATGGCCATGGAATGAAAATTAGGGGGGAAAATGAAAATTGAAAATGACTTGTGTTCTCAGCACAAAATCCTTACGATATTATATGCAAGACAATATACACTAATATACACTCCCGGCCTGACAGATTAGATGTAGGACAGGGAACGGCAACAAGGGGGAAATGTAGCTATATCTACAGGTTGTCAGCTTCTTGTGTGACATTATCATTTTCTGCACCAGGACTAGAGGTGGTTGATGGACCTGCAGTGAAATAAAGAAATTAATTAAACACTGACTTCATTTTTAAATGCAGAAGGTAACATATTACACCCACTTTACACTCACCAACATTAGGAGCTGTGTTTACCTGTGACACTTTTCCAACCATTACCATCTTAAATACCTTATCTTCTTGACTCCTCTCTTCTTGGAGTCATTTTTTATCTTTTTTCATGTCAGACCATGGTCCAGACAAATATTTTTTATATGGTCAGACATCGTAAAAGTCTCTGACTGAGTCAGGGTCAGAAGTCACGGGACTGTCCGAGCGAGCCTGACCCATCAGACAACTGTTAATAACTCATTCATAATAACTCAATAACATTTTGTTATTTTATGTTATTTTTTTGTGTGATTCCCCCTTCAAATGCCGGTGTAGTTTACAGGTGGCATCAATGTAAATAAGACTTTGACAGCACTTACAACTTGTGTAAAACTGCCACATACTGTTAGTAAGTGTTGATACATTTATAAGTTCAATGATTTCCCTCAAATAAATAATTACTAATCGAAGCCAGTGGCAAGCCGACTGTTTCAACAGGGGGCACTATTGTAGCCTTGGATGGCAGCTTCTTATGCTTCTTCAGTGTTAGGTGTTAACCCTGTCATGAAGAGTTTTTACTTTGGATACTGCAAGCACATGTTTCTCAAAATATTTCTGTACTTTGATTGAAAGTTAAATTTTGAATGCAGGACTTATGGGATATTTTTAAACTGAGGTATTGCTACTTGCTACTTATCTAAAGGATCTCAGTTCTTCTTCCACCACTAGCTCTGTGCTGTGCTGCATCACATCCATGTCATGTGGAACATAACTGCGCATAACTTGAGTGTCGCATTGGATTACATTGTTTTGCTGTTTGTTTTTTCCATTTTATGCAACTTAAAATTTTTACTCTACTACATTTACCTGACAGCTGAAGTTATTGTTACTTCACAGAGATTTTGCATGCAAAACACATCATGAGCACATAAATTTGGCCACAGGTATAATGCAGTTGCCAGACTGGGGTCCACCTGCACCAGCTGCTATATCAAAAAGCTGCTGTTTATATGTTAATGTATTAATAAATGATCACTATCTTCCCTTGACTACTTTTACGTTTGTTACTGACTGCTAATACTTAGAAACAGAAGTAAAATAAATATTTAAATTGTGATTGCACAGATTGTATGATTGAAGAATAACAATTCAGCATTCCAATACACAAGTAAAAGACAGATCCCACAGTTCATATTTAATTCATATTTTGTTTATGATTCAATAGAAGTAACTGTTTTATTAAAAGCAAGGAACTAGTTCTTGTTTTAACCATAAACTAAAATATTTTAAATTAAGCTTTAGTGGAAATGTTGACATTTGTAGGAGGCTCAGGAGTGTGTGATAAGATATGATGATTCCTGTTAAAATCTGCTAAAACATAACCGAGTTTAGGCAAATGGTCACTTGGTTGTAACTGTCTTTATGTTTAAATTTATGAAGAAGTTAATGTGGCAAATTCTAAATAAATTAGATCTTCAGGACACAGCTCCACATTCCCATGGCTGCCAAATAATTAACACAAACTTAAAGATAGTCAGAAATCTCTCATTTTCCTCTTTTTTGTTCATGTATAAATTTAAACACAACCATTTATGCTAGTTTCATTTGAGATTCATTTGCACTTTTGATACAGACTGCAGTGATAATGATGGGCCTATTGGTTATATCTTTTCATAAAAGTAGACTACTAATAGGCAATATATTTATATGGGCCTATTTAAAATATGAAAAGTACAAGTAGAATTTCTTTTATCAAAAAATACATCATTTGAGTGTCATTTACTCATTGTAGGCATGTAATAATTTGTTTAGGCATATAGAAAGAACTACTTCAGGAAAACAATTATTCTTTCACTTTCAGTGACAAAAGAAATAATGCAAACATCTTTATAAGGCCTACACAGTGTTAACCATTTAGAATAAATCTGATGAAGGCATACAAATAGTTGTCAGAAGAGAATCAAAAAAACAAATAGCCTTATTGTCTTTGTTCATCTACAGAGGTTAAAAACAGTAGTTCTAATATTAGAAAATTAACTAGGCTAAATAATTTTAAGCAATATTTCAGGCCATGGCGTTATGAAATTCGTTAAAAATAATTAAATCGGACATATTGACACTAAAATCCCCCGTTGTGGGGGCTGTATAGGAATTATTTTTTGGCTTTTTATAGTTTTATTCACAGCGGTAATCCTGTCAAGTCCATTAGTTTGGCCTGTCCCGGGCTAAATGGAGCTCTGATTGAACTAAACTGGTTTAGTCAGTGCCCAGCTCCTACCGACATGTGTGGTCCAGTACCTTCCCAGTTTAACCCTTTTACTGGCGGCTTTGCACTGCGGCTGCGAAAGGAAGGTTACTGTTGGTTTGTGCACTCACAGACAGAAACGGGCAATCGAGCAATTAAACTTCAAGAAGCGCAACAAAACGTGTCTCTGCTGGCTGTGGAGTTTAGGCTCCTGCAGGCAGTGACACACGGCAGAACTGTCGAACCCGACGCTGCTGGAGCCTTCACCCTGAGAGGAGTGCAGTACCTACCCCTGCCGTACAGAGAAAGGCCATTTTGGCATGTTGCTATGTTTAGCCTACGTACTATAATGAGCTACAACGTAGGCTACACATCGCGGAGTGATATGTTGTTGCAGTTTGATCCCCATGCGTTAATGGTGGATTCAGTTCGCGGAAACTTTTAAAACATTGCAATTTAGAAGAGTAACATGGAGTTTACTGTGACTTTGGTGAGTTGATCAGTGTTTTTACACTAAATAGGCTGCAAAGAAATTGAGCTCAACCCAACAACAAAACAGATATTAATTATGTTTCTTATTATGTAGGCTAGCCTATTTTACGACCACAACGTTTTTAATTAGGTCTAGCCTATTTGTTATGAAGCGTGTCCTTTTTCTGGCTAGGCCTACCATTCTCTAGGCCTACACTGCCTCTCTGTGCTGAATGCAAGTGTAACACCAAATCTATTTGCCAGGAGACTGTAGACTGGAGTTGGAAACTGAGAAAGAAAGATATTGTTTCCTGGATTTCCTATCTTTTGGATATCACATGAATGCAGCACGGGTCTCCAACATTAGGCCCCGCCCTTTGGAATGCCAGAAGGCCTTACCCCGCCCCTCTGCAGGGATACCATTCAAAAACACACGCGGCTGGGAGGGGAGCACAGGCCGGCGGCATGAGTGAAAATCCACCTGTACTGTGACAGCAGAAAGCCTGCAGCTCGATAATAAAAAACATAAACGAACATATCTGAGGTATATCTCTTATATGGCCCTGTCACAGATTATCTGACACACAGATTTAATGGTTTAAGGTCAGTAAATTATAACCTATAGGTGATAGGTGATCAAAAACCCAATAAAAACCATGATGTCTTATTATAAGCTTTGGAAACTTAAAATTGCATTGTGATGCATGTATAATAGCACAAGTGCTCTCCCCCTGTCCCTCCGTAATGCCTGCCCATGCAACCCTTATAAATTTGTAAAACTGTTTGTTTCATTTTTGCAAATTGTAGTATGTTCAATAGAAAAGCAAATGGGACTTTCTGCCTCATTCTCACCAGTGCAAAGATCTTTGAATAAATCCTATGACTCGTAGTTAATTCATAATTAGTATGTTTGCTTTGAATTAAGGTAAAAAGTCACAGTAAGCAGGTGAACCATGATCTCTGAATAAACTATTATCTTAATCATTAACATTGTATATTTAATTTGTTTATTTAATATTTATTTGTTTTCTTTTGCAAAGCATTTTCTCACAGTGGTGTTTGCTTCGCTTACTTCTTTATATGGTATAGGCTAGATGACTTTACAATCATCAAAATGTTTTGTCAGGCGCTTAACTTGTTCCACCAGAAAAACCCTGCTGCTCTGCTCATGCTGACAGATACTTTTACACAATCCTTTGAAACATTGGTTGGGATGAGAACAGAATTGAGACATCATGACTGAACAGGATTAGGTTGTTGCTGTGTTTGTTCAGTGTGTCTTTTTGAATAATCTTAAATATTTGATACATAATAAAATAGAAATATTTGCTGTTTTAAAATACTGCCGCCTAAAGGAAGTGCTCAGTAGTCACTGCAGTCAGTAACCTCAAAGTTACTGTCACAAGTTGATAAATTAGTTTTAAAATCCTGCAAATAAGACAAACCTAATACAAACAAAGAAACACAATCTAAACCCACACCCATATGTGATAAGTGGGCATTATTGAATTTTGAGGGTCACAAAGACAAAAAGGTTTGGAACCACGTTGTTAAAAATTGTACTTTTTCTTGGTCATCGTTGAATAGAAAATGTCACTGCAGTAATAGTAGCATCCATGTGGCATCATTAATTAAATCATGAATCATTAATAGGTATTTAGCATGTCTATAACCCGAGGGCGTCACTTTGTGTTGAATAATGGTGGGGACATAAGGACTTAAATGAAAAAACGTTTAAACAGTATTCAGCATATGCAATTTCAGGAAATGTAATGGGTGGATATGAATGACCTATCACATCCAAACTTGCAACACCATGTCAATCAAACAATGCCACATCTACCTTTAGATGTTAGATTAAACTGCCTTGTTGCTTCAATGCTGCATACTTTTAGAAACAAGATTTCATGAAACCAACTCAACAGTGTGACTGTATGACATGTTCACAGGAAGAGAAAGGTAAACTTGGACAAGAAGAAACTGTGTCAAGAATTTTGACTGATCAGCACTTGTCATTTTTTAATAAGTAGCTTGTTTTTTTTAGCCTAAAGTTACTATTTTTTAACAATGCACATTTGTTTTTTCGATCTTTAAATTGCACTGCATGTTTTCTTGTGCAAATAAACCTTTCTCAGCGTTTTCATTTCTTTGTTAACATTTTTAGGTGCAATTTTAACAAACTATGCTTTCAAAAAGGGATGGGTACATGTTCCCAGCATCCCCAGTGTATACTACAACAAAGCTAGAACCCGACCTATAACCCAAATAATGTGAGAGTCACAAGTTATAAAGATAATTAAGACTAAAGGGTGGTTTTAATTGATAGACACCACAGCAACATTTCTGTGTGATGCCAGGGTGGTCTTGTTGCATCCACTGCTACTGGTTTCAAAAGTAACAACTGCTGCATTGTCTTGTGTACATGTGTTTTACTGCCAAGAATATCCAGAATAGACTGATTTGTGCTTACACATATAATTAATATGGCAATAGGGGTGGAGTGTGAGAGGAAGAAGGCGCGGGACTAGTTCAGAGTGTGGTGGTCAGTGCTGCCTGCCTAATGTGGAGGCTGACTGTGCAAATCTTGGATCTGTTTTTACCCTGTTATAAAAGGAGGCTGATAATTATGTTCAAAATCTGGCTTTATGTATGAAAATCATTTTAGGAATATATGGCTGTAAACCTTTAAAAAGGTTATTACAAAGAGTAGATTCTATTATATCTATTATGTGTTCTGTATGAAAAGTATAATGAGATAACTTCTGTTATGAATTGGAGCTATATAGAAGAAAAAATCAAAACGAATTAAAAAGGAGGCCATTTGGATGAAAACTCTGAAGAGCATATTTTACTACATAATGCACAGGCCATTTCCGTTTAAAATCAGATCATCCTCATGACAAAACTGATCGATTGCAAATCATTCTCAAAACGACATATGTGATTGTTGGAAAGTACCAGCCCAGTGACAGGCGCACATGGTTAGGTTTAGGATAATATCATGGTTGGGGTTCAGATAAGAATGAGTCATAAGCCATGGAACATAATGTAGGTCAGCTACATAACGTTATTTAATTTAAAACAAGTTCACATTGACTTGGTTTCAAATGGGACTTGATCCCTGGTCTGCTGGGTGAAAGTCCTGTGTTTGTTTGACCAAATCAAAAGGATTGAATTGAGTTGATCACTGCTTTTGAACTTTTCGGGGGTGCAGGGCATGAAAATTATGCTAATATTTTAAACCAGAGGCATCTGAAATATACAGAAACTAAGTTACAAAATGTTTTTATACATTGAAAGACATGATCATGTGCTAGAAAGTGTTTAAAAGACACTGACCTCTGAATTTATACATCCACATGTTCTGGGACAGCAGAAAGCCTGCAGCTCTCCAATAAAAAACATGAACAAACATTTCTGAGGTATATCTCTCATATGAACCTGTAACAGATTATCATTGTTTTTTGGAAACTTTGTCATCTGTATATGAATCTAAAATTAATATTCTGTGGGTGTGGACATTGTTTGGCCACATGACATGTTTCTAAGGTAGTCCCCAGCCAAATGAGGAATTGAGATGATTTGAGTTCCTGCCTTTAAAGCTACCTAAATGTTTCTGTGGCCTCTAGGGAGAACCTACAGCTTTGATTTGATTTTAATGTTTCATATTATGGCAATATATTTAGAGGTCAATATAAGAAATGTTATAAAACACTTTCCATCACATTATCATGTCTTTCAGTGTCCAATAACATGTTTTCAATTAGTTTCTGTATATTTTTCACATACCTCTGGTTTTAAATATTTCATTTAAAACATTTTCAGGCCCTGCACCACTAAAAAGTTCACTAAGAGAATAACAAGCCCGAAATGGAGAACACAGATCGGTAGTGTATGCAGCATGTCAACCTGATCAGTCAGCCGTCACGCTAAATATGGGCACACCGCTTCCTGTGGCCCCACATACTTCGCTCAGCAACGCCACTTCACGCACAGGTGCGCGTGCGCACAGAACTACACGCATGAGCAGTGGTGAGCATGAACATTCCTTACATAGCGTCTAAAGCACGTCATGGCAGACAGGTTTCTCCTCAAAACTCTGGGGCAAAGTAAAGGAAGTGAAGAGAGGACTGGCTGTAATGAGAGAGAGAGAGATCACACTGAACCAGCTGTCCTCCCACTGATGGTGCCTAAATAAGATGTTCATTATTCATCAATGATGTCAAGAGTTTGCTTCTCTTTGTTTGATACATTTAACAGTTTTAAATGTGAGGTAGAGTTAAGCTACTTGACAATAAAATCTCCTGCGCTGGGTTAAGATGGGGGAGGGGTCAGGGAGGTGGGGTGGAGCCCTTGCGCTCCTCCAGCAGGCTTTGTTGACATGAATGAAAAAAAAGCCAGTGTTTCACATGCATCACATTGGGCTCCAGTTCAAATGAATTTCTGTAGTGCATGTTTCACCTTTCAGTACAAAATACAAATAGATGGCCTAAAGCACAGGCCGAGAGCTTACCCTGGAAACACTAAATGACTGGAAGTCATTATTTGTCCAGCCCGTTTTTAGAACATGAGAGATCATCTTTGGACACATTCTGTCTAACCGACACCTAAACCAGCATCATACCGTCAGGCCCTGTACTGGAGGGGAGAGGAAGAGAGTAGCTGGTGTAGAGGCGGGTCTTTTCCGCCGGACAATGCAATTATTTCAGCTCCATTGATCAGGAATGCCAGATTTCACAGGCCGCTGCCCTCCTCCATGCGTCGACCGCAGCGCTTTAGCCTCGCTGCCTTTAAACTTTTCCCACCGGGTCTGTTACAGCACAACACCACCCAACACTGCTGCTGCGACTCAAGCACCGCCCTCTCTCTCCTTTAATTTAGCTATACTTTCACATTTATAATAAACTATATGCCTACAAAAAATGGAGCCTATAGAATGGCACAATGAACCTTAGGCCTACAAACTTTACAACAACACACATTTCACAATCATTATTATTCATTTCATTATCATACTGTGTGCTTGACCTGTAGTAGGGGGAACCAAGGTTTCAAAAGGCGTACTTATATAGGGCTGCTCACAGGTAGTCTAGGCTATAGGCTATTGATCACAGGCAGGCCTACACAATTCTGAAACAGGTTTCCAAACTAGTATTGCTGGTCATAACCGCCATTCGTTCCATACCAGTAAGGTCAAAAACATTCAAGTAAGCACAACCATGTTTCTACTGAGAAACACAACATAAATCATTCTTTTAAATCATCCAATAATGCTAATGTTTTCATTTTTTCCTTAGCTATGTAGCCCTAGGCCCTAGCAAGCAAACAGGAAAGATTTTCATATGAATTATTTCTGACATCAAATGAATTACTCCTGTCCAAAAGGACCTGACAGCAGGGATGGGCCACAGCATATGATTCAAAGTTCCCAAATTTATATGCTAGAAGAGATGAGAGGGCCACCTTTTTCCCGGTGGAACTTTCTCTGCTGCTCCCATTTGCACCCGGAAGTGGCTTTTCGATAATACCTTATAAAATGTGCATATAATATTACTTCTTTCCTGCACTTTGGAAAGTATTTTTGTCCATAAAGTAGCCCTGTCTGAAAAACAATGTGTCCTGTCAATAAGGTACATAGGCATGTACCTCGCCTACAGAAAGCAGCAGTGGATGTGTCCTAGATCGTGTGATGTTCAGTGTGGACCGGTGTTCTGACAAATTCTGCCTGCCTGCCGAGAATTGCATGCACCTCACGGGTGCTAACGGTCATTTATGCTGAGAAAAGAGGTGGATGCAAATCTCGGCAGGTAGCCTACAAAATTTGATCTGCAGAATTATGCATCCACCTCTTTAGGTCCTTTTCAGACACTTTGCCGTGCTCATTGATCAA